TTCGGCCCCACTATAGTGTATTGCTTGATTGATCAACAACAATAAATTGAATTACAATTAAACAATTATGAAACTTTAATTCTTTGAATAATTATTTATTATCTTTTGATCTCTTGAACGATTTAGATATAAGTTAATGTTTTTAAAGGTGTAACAAACAATAAAGGCCGGTTACTTACTTTTAAAACAAACCACTAAAACTTCTGGATTAAAAAAGTTACTTACAATTTTTCCTTAGAAAACATTCTCTTTTGATCTTAATTAAACTATACGTAAGTGTAACTAATTAACTGTTTATACTTTATGCTAATTGGCGGTATTGTTTTGTGTCTTGCTTCTTAATCATTCAAATAAAATATTATCTATATATGGTTAATAATTGTTTGTTTGTGTAATTATATTTTTTCAAATAAAGTTTATGTTCTGTTCTGTTTGTATTGCTTACTTTTCCCCTACTACTACAATAATCTAGTTTTTATACAAAATGATTAAATATATATATAAATTATTTTTTTTATTGAAATGCTATTAATATTTAGGTTTAAAATACAGTACTTATTCTGGGGCCGATTTGGTAAAGGGCCGAAACGTCCGGGGCCGAAACGTCTTGGGTAGTTTGGGGCCGATACGTCTTGGGGCCGAAACGTCTCGAAATCGGTAAATTTAAACAGGGCGTGTCTGGATATTTGTATGTGAAGTGTCGAAACACAGAATGCGGTCATGTGAATTGTGTTCCCTGACCCTATGGAAAAACACATAGACTCTAGTAGATTGAAGACCTGGGAAAGTTGGAATGCCATGTTTCGTTGTCAACACAAAATTAGGAACAGGTAAGTGATTAATGTATTGCATCATACTTTAGATTAAGTACTATATACTGATTATGAATTCATAGATGTAAGGTCTCGTACCAAAATGAATATACATTTATCAGTGTTTATCTACTTGTCTTCCAATGATGTCAAACATGTAAAATTATGAGAGAAATTATGCGGACCAAATTTATGTTTCAGATTTATAAATAATTAATTTATTATACAGAATACACGTATCTTGTTTGTGTTGAGCTGTAAAACACTACTCCTTATTGTGAAGGAAGAGGCTAGCCAAAAGTTCTAGCCGTACGTGACTCACATACTCCATATAATTTTGAAAAGTGCCGTACGGCTAGCCAATACAGTGTGTCCTGGCTAGTCGTACCTGACTCGCGTACGGCTAGAACTTTTGGCTAGCCGTACGGGCCCGTACGGCTAGCCACTTCCTATTGTGAAATTTTTTATAAACTTCCCTCTGAACTGTTTTAATTTCCCCAAAGTCACTGAGAAATTTGAAAAACAAATGATAAAACGTTGCTAAATTAAATCTTGCAACAATGCAATTTTTAGTAAGACATTACAGAATCCTACATGTACATTATATAAAAGACACAGTTTACACTAGGCTGCCAATACACACAGTCACAGTACTAATATTCAACATACATGAGGCAGCTAAAAATAGCTCTATATAAATTTATGCAATGTGTTATTATCACGGTTATGTAAATTACAATCCATGTGAAGTTTTTTTTGACAAAATATTTGTATACTTAAATGAAATAATTTGTTTCTTTCATTTTCTTACAGCAATGATTGATAGTGTAGGTGGGCCGGTGAGGGTCAACAATTTGTTGTCAACACTCAATATACCAACAATTGGAAATAAAAACATGAAAAGAAATGGAGAGACGTGTTGGAAATATCACTGAGACAGTGGCTTCTATGTCGACAGAATCTGCTGCGAAAGATTAAGGAAATGGAGTAAGACACATTTACAATGATATTTTCGAAATAACATGTAATTAAATTGGAAGAATTTCAAAAATTATTTTGTAATTATATGTCTATGCAGCTTATCATGGTATAATCCTATATTGCTGGCATGTTCGTGGTTTAGGGAACCAAAGAATATTATACAATCCATATATGAAAAAATAATTTTTAAACAATGGCTTTGTTTTTTTTGCATGTTACTCTATATTCATGTAGATATTTTTTTTTTCAAAATAATATGAATGTGTAATTGTTTTTAGTCCCCTACCGGTCCGTCAGTCCGTCTGTCTGTCCGTCCGTCAGTCCGTCCGTCCACAAAACTGGATCCCGCGATAACGCAAAAAGTACTGAAAATATTTTAATGAAACTTGATATATGGATAGATGGCAGTATGGAGATTATGCACGTCTTTTTTTTTCTTCCTATGTTGAAAATTCTGGTTGCTATGGCAACAAATAGACTGAAAATATGGCAAATTTTACACATAACCTGGATCCCGTGATAACGCAAAAAGTACTGAAAATATTTTTATGAAACTTGATAAATGGATAGATGGCAGTATGGAGATTATGCACGTTTTTTTTTCTTTTTTTCCTATGCTGAAAATTCTGGTTGCTATGGCAACAAATAGACTGAAAATATGGCAAATTTTACACATAACCTGGATCCAGTGATAACGCAAAAAGTACTGATAATATTTTTATGAAACTTGACATATGGGTAGATGGCAGTATGGAAATTATGCACATCCTTTTCTTATCTTCCTGTGTTGAAAATTCTGGTTGCTATGGCAACAAATAGACTGAATTTCAAGATTTCTGATTCTAGTTTTTAAGTTTTTTCACTATAAGTTCTTTATTTCTTAAGGTATTTTCTTCAAACTTTAAATGTAAGTTGCTAGTCATCAACCACATCATATGTGACAAAGTTTACAACTCTAGCACAAAATTTATCAGAATTACCTCCCTTGAACTTAAAATTTTCATGAAAAAAAAACATTGTTGTTTTTTTAATAACTTCTTTTTTTCTGAACATATCTACTTCAAACTTCATATAAATGTTTCTTATTATCACTCAACATTTGTGAGTGTTCAATACTGATTACTCTAGCAAGACTATTTCCAGAATTATGCCCCTTTTAAACTTAGACTTTTTTTTGAGAAATTGGTAATTTTTACTCCAACTTCTTCAATCATGATAGGATTTTCTTCAAACTCCCACATCATAATAATATGACAAGGGTTATAAATCTAGCATCCATATTTCCAGAATTATCTCCTCCTTAAACTTTTAATTTTTTTCTATTCGTTCTTTTAACTTTCATTTTACTTCAAATTCAAAATAAACATTCAATATTCATACCTTCATTACTAATTGTTCTTTGTTACACTCACATCATGTATGACATTGTTATCTCCTTTTTTTAAAATTTTGCTTTTAAAAATGTTATATTTTATAACAGGGATGTTTAAAAAATAACTTTAGAGTGTCCTTCAGTCCGTCTGTCTGTCTGTCTGTACATAAAAACTGTTCACTGTGATCACTTTTAAAGAACTTTTTCAACGAATTTACTTAAAATAGAAACATAAGTGAAAGGCCAATGGCCCTTCAGAATGTTGCTTGTGCTCTTACCGGTAGGGGACTTATGGATTGCTTGCAATACTATGATAATTGCTTGTTTAAAAAAAGTATTTATTTCTACATGACAAACTGGGTCCGCCTGGGCTCCTTGCCATTGGTACTTGTTGCTGGGTCATATGGGGGTTGCGTTCATTGAACGCCGCCTTTCCTTGTTGATCTTGTTTATCATATTTTACCTTCATTGGTTTAAGACTAAAATTCTTATTAAATACATGCATTCTTTTTAAGGGATGTGCATCATGAAGAATCAATGGTATCAGAATACAACATCATGGAAGGTCTTATTGACAAGATCTTGGAGGATGTCCTTTGCCAGATGCCTCGCCAGCACTAAAGTGAGTACTGGTAGTTTGTTTTCTGTATTTTGTTTATTTACGAAAGTAAAGGACTATGCAAAACTGACTGGTGTTGTTGAACTGTTTGTGTTATGTCAGTTGCTTCAATATATGAATATCTCTCCATATACTGTTTGTACATATGTATTTTTTTTTTATTCAAGGTCTATTCTTCAGTCAGATGCTACAGTTACAAATGACAGTGAATGGTCAGATTTATACAATTGTGATGAACAATCCTCAACAATACATCAAACAAAAATGCCTATTAAACTGTAAGTTGAAATCTATGAGGTTTTTTTTATATATATTTATAATCATGGTGTAGCAATTAAATGATAATACTGTGATAATTTTGTAATGCTATTTGGGGTCGTCTTCAATAGAAACAATTTGATGTATCTTCATGTGATGAATAATCGATATGCAGTCCGAATTATTTCATAAAAGTGATTACTAAAATTGGTCAGGAAAAAGTCGTGCAATTAGCATTAATAATTAACAAAACAGTGGCGTTTTTCTCAGTTATCATGTCAGTAATGATTTAGAATTTGTCAGAAAAGTATCTGTGTATATTTTAACCACTGTTATTGATGTATAATTGAAAAAGTGAGTTTTGCATACAAGTAAGACTGGTTAGTCAACATTGTTCTTTCAAACAGTGGCATTTAGAAGAAAAATCCTAATGGTTATTTGAATCACCCTGGTTTTAACTTGAGCTCTGACCTGGCTGTCATGTTCACAGCATGCATCATTTTTGTGTCGCCTCTACGGAGTATTGGCGACATATAGGGATCATTTCTCCGTCATCTGTCTGTCTGTCCGTCCGTCACAAAACTTGTCCGGACTACTCCTCATAAACTACTGGTGAAATTTCATCCAAACTTTACAGGAATAATCAGTACCAAGTCTAGTTGTGCATTTTGTCAGCATTTTCCGGTTCAATGATTTTTGTCAGAGTTATGGCCCTTTAATAATTTTTATTAAGTTTGTCTGGACTACTTCTCTTATACCACTAATGCAATTTCAATGAAACTTTACAGGATTGATCTGTAGCTTAAGTCCTTGTACATATTGCACGGGTTTTACGGTTGAATGATTTTTGGCCGAGTTATGGCCCTTTGATAAAAAGGTGTTTTTTTCTGTGTGTTGCCATATACACAAAAGCTTGTCCAGACTACTCCTCATAAACTACTGGTGCAATTTCATCCAAACTTTACAGGAATGATCAGTACCAAGTCTAGTTGTGCACTGTCTGTCTGTCTGTCTGTCTGTCCGTCTGTCACAAAACTTGTCCCAACATGAAATTGGCCATCATGAGGCGACACATGTGATCACTGATCGCTCTTGTTTGTTATTTTGGTGTTTTTTTAACATAATACCTTGATTTCTTAACTAAGTTAGATAAACTTATAATATATGAGCCACTTGTCATTTGTAAATAAATCTAGGTTTTGCAATGCAAATACGTGTTCATCCCAACAGATCAAAATCAAGCCAGCAATAAATAATAATTGCCTTTGGTGTTTAGTTTCTTCATTTGTAGGTGGGCTTTACTAATAGATTACTACCACTTTATTTCAAGGTGGGGTTTTGGGGTATCATTCACCTTCAGTGATAGTTCTAGTTTTATCCAGTATAAACATGGTAACATGTAAATGCAAAATAAACCTTGTTTTTTTTTTCAGTGTACTGCATCAATAAACTAAATATGGAGAGTAGCTTAGTCACCAAAGCAGACAGTCAACACCAAAATACACACAATGGCCAGGGCACTGAAACTTGGAAGAGTGAAAGAGTAAAGTAGTGCGTTTTTAGCTTACAAAGTGACATTGCGAGCTTTTGTCTATCTTTCGTCCATAAACTTGATCTTTAAACAACATCTCATAAATTGCCAAGCCAATTTCATGCAAACTTACGATATTGTCTAGTCAGTTTTTGTTTTGCATGCAAATCGTTATATGACATGACTAAAGACATTTAGTTTTTATTCCTAAGTTATTATGTTTTTATGTTTGTATAAGACTCAAATTATATATTGTTAAGATTCATTTTTACAAATTTGAAAGCCATTATTGTTCTAGTCAGTTTTTTGTTTTGCTTGCAATCGTTATATGACATGGCTAAAGGCATTTAGTTTTTAATCTTTAATAGTTATGTCTATATTTGTATAAGACCCAAATATATTGTTAAGATTCATTTTTACAATTTTGAAAGCCATTTTTTTTTGTTCTAGTCTGTTTTTGTTTTTGCTTGCAATCGTTATATGACATGACTAAAGACATTTAGTTTAAAATCTTTAGTTATTATGTCTATGAGTGGCGTCCGTGGCCTAGAGTTTAAAGTCATTGACTTCAAACCACTTGCCCCTCACCGCTGTGGGTTGAAATCCCGACAGGGACTTTGGATTCTTTCATGTGAGGAAGCTATCCAGCTAGCTTAACTGAACGTCGTTGGTTCTACTCAGATACCCGTTTCGTGCCTGAAATAAATGCAAGGAAAGGGCACCCTGAACGTCACGATATTGACCTATACTGTGTCGATGTGACGTAAAAACCCAAAACAAACAAACAAAAAATTATGTCTATGAAATTCGTTGTTTGTATAAGACCCAAATATATTGTTGTGATTAATTTTAAACAATTTTGAAAGCCATAATTGTTCGTGTCAGATATTGTTTTGCTCACAATCATAATGTTATATGACAAATGAGTTTTTAAATCTGAAGGTATTATGTCAAATATGTTGTTTGTATAAGACCAAAATATATTTTTGAGATTCATTTTTACACAATTTTGAAAGCCATTATTGGTCTAGTCTGTTTTTTGCATAACACATAACGCTATTGTTAGTATTTTTATTGTTATTAATAGTGATTTGTCTAAGTGGATGTCGAAGTATGTATGTTATTCCATGCCAGTTCATGTTGAATGAAACTTTTTGTCCAGATAGAAGATTTCAAACTGTAACTTTTCTGCTGATTTTTAGCTTTTACAACAATATTATATTTCCCATTTTTGGTGCTAAGAAATACTGCAACATGTGCTGAATAATAGCTATTGTCAAACATTGTTTTTATGCTCCCCGAAAAATTTCTGCGGAGCATATAGTCATCGGGTTGTCCGTCCGTCTGTACGTACATACGAACCCGAATTCGTGTCCAGCCCATAACTTTATTATTTCAAGTTGGATTTTAAAAGTATTTCACAGAAATGATCACCATATTGAGACGACGTTGCGCCCGCAACATTTGGGTCGCTACCTTGAAGGTCAAGGTCACACCATGACCTTGAACAAAAATCATGTCCGGCCCATAACTTCGTTATTTGAAGTCGGATTTTAAAACTATTTAAAAGTAATGATCACCATATTGAGACGATGTGTCGTGGGCAACATTTGGGTCGTTACCTTGAAGGTCAAGGTCACAGCATGACCTTGAACAAAAATTGTGTCCGGCCCATAACTTGGTTATTTGAAGTCGGATTTTACAACTATTTCACCGAAATGATCACCATATTGAGACGATGTGTCACACGCAACATTTGGGTCATTACCTTGAAGGTCAAGGTCACAGCATGACCTTGAAGCAAAAATGTGTCTGGCCCATAACGTCGTTATTTAAAAGTGGGATTTTACAACTATTTTTGGAATTATCACACTTTGAACTGGGACATAACCCTGAAAAACTTCAAAAAAGATATACTTTTTCTGTGTCCAAAATCCTAGTTTCGGGGGGATCACCCCGGTTTCAACCCGGCTCTTGTTTTAATTTGTATTATTAAGTAATATGAACAATTCATGATAGCATCATAACTAAAGAGTGGAAATTTATGAAAGTCAAATATGTATAGAATCAGTTGCTAATAAAATGTGTGTAAAATTTATCTCTTTTTTTGGGAATTAATTTCTTTATTTTACAAATTTATCAAATTTCATTTTATTCTACTGATATGTAATGTAATATTTCTTTTATTTTCTATTGAAAAAATGTGTTAAAACCAATATGTATTTGTTTTCTTATAATTCAGCTAGTTTTAATTATTCCAATGTTTGAAAAAAAAATTGTTCGCCAGAACTTTACCAAAATGTTCGCCAAATATCGCCATAACATATTTGCTGAAACTGGCAAATATGCAAAATGAAGTTTGCCGCAGTGTTACCAAAAGCTTCTGGCGAACCTCTGCAAACTTACTATGCAAATGAAGTTTGCTGCAAATTTGCCGCAAACTTTTGGCGAACATCTGCAAACTTTTACCATGCAAATGAGGTTTGCAGTAAATTTGCCGCAAACAGAAGCTACCTCCCCCTATAGTTAGCGGCAAATTTGCCGCTAACCTCATTAGTAATTTGCCGCAAACCTCATTTGCATGGTAAATAATTGCTGAAAGCAGTTTACTGCAAACTCACCGCAATGTTTGCGGCAAACTTGCTGCAATGTTCACCAGAGAGCCCTTTTTTTGGTAAGGAGTATCATAGTTATGTGTTAAAGATTTCCTGTCTTATAGGGAAATTATGTTTAATACGACACATAATCAAAAGACTCATTTTTATGCATTAGAAATGTTTCAAATTTTTCTCTATTTTCAGGAGATTTGTTGAAATTATTTTAGGAACCGACTGACAGACAGAGGGCAAATATTTAAACATCACTTGTTGTAACCAGAAAATAACACTTTTAAATCAAAATTCTTAAACTAAAGAGGAAATAACTGTTGAAATAAAGATGCTTATATTATGAACGTTGTCATACATGATGAAGGTGATGGGAAAGAACAATTATCTTAAGTCTAATGTGCAATGTAGATATCATTTACAGTAACTCAGTAAGAAGAAGTTTAGAAATAACAATTTTTAAAACATTTCCAAGGTCAAATGAAAAAAATCATGGAAAGCCATGATTATTGTGCTTGACTTAAAACGCTTATCGCATATGATGTTGATACTGAACATATAGTTGAAAGTATATTCATGAAGAAAAAAAAACAACAGTAAATTATCATTATACGTATAGGTGCTTGAATTATGAACCTTGCCACATATGATGTGAGTGATGATAAGAAACATATATTTGAAGTTTAAAAATGATACGTTTAGAAATAAAAAAGTATACAATAAAAACAACAATTTTTCACGAAAATTCACGTTCAACTCTTATTGTAATTCTTATTATTTTAAATACTATCATATATCCACATTTTATGTTTCATAAAAATATGTTCAGAACTTTTTTAGCTCACCTGAGCTTGCTCAGGGTGAGCTTTTAGGATCGATGAATGTCCGTCGTCCGTCGTCCGTCCGGCCGTCCACAATTGCTTGTGAACACTCTAGCGGTCGCATTTTTGCCTCAATCATCATCAAACTTGGTTAGGATGCTTATCTAGTTGAAAGCTCGGATGAGTTCGAACATGGGTCATCTCAGATGAAAAACTAGGTCACAAGAGCTAAAAATAGAAAAACCTTGTGAACACTCTAGAGGTCACATTTTTGACC